ACCCACCCCACTGGAAAGGCACGCTCTTCTTCGTCAGATGTACTAGAGCCCCGCCAGGCTGCAAAACCAGGGATAAACCACCGATAGTAATTAGCAAACCCCAGGAAGCTCCGCACATCACCAATGCTGCCAGGCCGACCCCAAGACCAGACCGCCTCAAGCTTCGCAGGGTCCCATCGAATGCCATCACTGGAGACGACGTGACCAAGGAAGACAGCACTCCTCTGAAAGAGCGTACATTTCGTGGGCTTCAGCTTCATGCCGGCATCTGCAACATGACAAAAAACATCACGGAGGTTACCAAGAGCTACATCAAAGGTTTTACCAAAAATGATGATATCGTCCAGATATACAAGACACTCCGTCCACAGTAAGCCTTGCAGCACACACTCCATCAACCTCTGAAAGGTCGCAAGAGCATTACAAAGGCCGAAGACCATAAGGGAAAGTAAAAGTGACCTCTCCTAGTCCCAAACGCAGTCTTCGCCGCATCCTCCGGATCCATCTCAACCTGCCAATAACCCGAGGTTAAGTCTAGAGTAGAAAACCAACTGGCACTGTCTAAGAAATCCAGCGTATCATCAATTCTCGGCAGTGAATAGGCATCCTTACGGGTAACATCATTAAGCCTTCGATAATCTATACAGAACCGCGTCGACCCATCCTTCTTGGTGACCAACACCACCGGGGACGCCCACGGACTGCTGCTGGGCCGGACAGTGCCGGACGCCAACATCTTATCCACCTCCACATTCATTATCTCCTGTCAAGCCAGGGGACACCTACGCGGAGCCTGCTTAATGGGATGATGAGCACCCGTATCAATCTTATGTTTGACTAACCCTGTATGCCCAAGCTGTTCACCCGGAGCCGTAAACAAACTCGAATATTCCAGTTAGGCAAACGGCGAGATTCTAAGATAGAATGCGGGTCACGAGCCTAGGCACCCGACTCGTGACGGGAACGAAGCCACAGCGCCAAGGAGGGTGTCTTACGTTTCCACATTGACGCGATTCCGTGCAAAACTCCGCGCGTAACGACGGTACGTTGTTGAACAACGACAATTTCGCTGTTTAGGTTACAGTAATGTCTCGGGCTCACTATACGCTAACTTGCGGGTGATTTCAAGTGAAGACAATCGGAAGATATAAGAACGAGAACGATTACGCGTATTATCCCGCACTGTTTCTGCACTGTTTTGAACTTCTACTTGGATTTCCACGCAGAAGTCTTTATTATCGTTTAGAGAGCATTTGAACTAAAAAATTAGATCCATTTGTTGACTTCAAGTTAAAAATAGAAGTTACGAGATCAGACAGAGTGGTCTACGTCAACGAAGACTTGCTGCGCATGCGTGGGCTCCACATGGCTAAACAAGCGATGACGTAATGACGGTAGAATCTTATCATTAATTGACAGGCATGGGAAAAGGCATGATGACCATATCGACGATTCTCATTACCGGACTCTGTTTCGATAAGAGACGATCACTGGCTACCGAGCTGATATCTGCATCCTCAGCACTTGGCAGTCTGATTGGATCATTGGACCCATACTGTGGGTGGGGATCGTAGAGATTCCCACCTGGCACGGAACGCTGATCGTTCTAGGCGCCGTATATCTCCAATCTGTGGCAGCGCGAGCCCTCTTCCGGCGCATACCGAAAGCAGCAAGGAAACTGCGCTCGACGAGCTGAGAGACAGGAAGCGTCGCCTGGTGATGCCGATCGATGTTGAGCTTCGGCGTCTTCTGCTTTCAGCATCTCGCCGATGGCATTCAGAACAGCGTCATGCTTACGTTATGCGTGTTGCACGGCAAGCAGCAGGGCCAAACTCTACGACCGATGGCGCTCTCGCTCTGGCTCAATTCACCAGGTGAATATATTATTGTTCCTACTAAAAGAGACGCCAGTATTAATTGATGTGAGGCTCTGAAAACAATAGTTCATATCCGTCTGGTTGCACCCGCTAGGCCTATATTGCACCAATCTATTCATGCCTTGCATCTTAGGATTAGTCTTCGTGTTTCTATAGGTGTTCTCATGGAACACATAGGAGACGTGAGCGTAGTCTTCGCCCTGGCCGGATTCACAGCCACGGCGAGCGCGACATTGCTAAATGGCTCCCTCTACCTCGACCACAGACGACCCCAAACGCGGCAGCAATCACAGATGAGACGCTTCAGAGTGAAACGCTTCGGTGAACACGATATTAGACGAACCCTGCTAACTGTAACACGTGCATCGTGCAAGCATATATACAATCATACAGATCTAACGAAGAGTCCCTTGATCAATAGGCAGCAATAATAAGCCGATGAACGGACAATTTCTGGCCTCTGATATAAACAGACACATGTATATACATCAATAAATAAATAAATAAATTTAATACGGTGCCACGTATTTCAAAAGCAACTAATACACATTCGCGTTTGTGAAATTCGAAATGCAGTATTTGACTCGCGAGAAATATATATAGGCCTACTTATCTCGGATTCACTCACAAAATCGCTGTTTGTAAAGCTGCAGCTACACTGAATGGAATATCTCCAGTAAAGACATGCGGTACATAATCCCTAATTAATAATAACCAGTTGAGACTAATACCTATATATATATATATATATATATTGGCTAGCTTAGTTAACAATTCGTAACATAGTTAAACAAAAACTTTGCTAGAACATAATAGGTTGTGGCAAATTTCGCACATACTCACATATTCTGTACTATATATATTCACAAGGCCTGTCGCCAACCAACAATTATCACATACCATCGATACACAATCACATCTTTAAAATGCTACATATTTACACCACGCTAATTGCGTAAAAACCCGCACCCTCGTTGCTGGGTCTTGTGGTTTCACTATCGCCTCTTCCTTGCTGATAAGAACATGAAAATGCCGTCAATCTTTACGAATACACTATATCGATTATATCAAGAGTAAGATAATATAGGATCCTATAGGATCCTATATTATCTTACTCCTGATTATATCATAGCCATAATGCCATAATGCTATAATGTCATTTAATTCAGGTTAGTTGGTGTTATTTCGCAGTTCGATGCGTTATTAAAGATCACGTGTTTCACGTACTTAGATTACTAGAGATACCGTGAGATAAGCAATACAGCAGATATTTTCGGAATAAAACCTGGTTATTTCAACTGCTTCGCTTTTGATGAGCACTGAAATGTTTTTTTTTTTTATATATACGGGGTTTGTTCTTCAAGGGAAACGTTGACAGCTTTGCCGTGACGTCACGGCCGTTTCGCTGCGTTAGTGCGCGCACTTGCCCTATCAATTTCCATTACCAAAATGCCATTCACAACACCTATCTTGTATTTAAACGAAATAGGTTTCAATTTGCTTAGCTATTTACATACATTACTACATTACAACCATTACATTATTCTGATCATTAGCAACATAATTATTGTAATAATATTCCGAATTATCATATATTGTGATAAAAATGGTGACATACCAGGAGTTTGAATTCACGATTGAAATTGGTTATTAACTAACCATTCACAAAGCACGCTCTCTCTCCCTCTCTCTCTCTCTCTCTCTCTCTCTCTCTCCCTCTCTCTCTCTCTTCTTCTCCTCCCCCCCCCTCTCTCTCTCTCGCTTTCGCCCTGTCTATTCAACTTCTCTCTCTCTATCGCTCCACATTTTCTATTATCAATTCTGAACATTTTTATGTCATTCCAAAAGCAGTGGGCTCACTGAAGTACATACAGTCAAACTAAATACGTACTATACATAAAGACCATGCAACTAACATATTTGACCGTTTCAACCAGCATAGCACAACATGCTCTCACACGGACACAGTGAGCCGGGAGAGCAAGCGGTGCTGTGCTGTGCAACCAATCATACGTCCCCTGCACGTATTCGCTCTCACACCATCGCGACAGATATATAAACCCCGCACGGGTCTTTGGTGCATCGTCGCAGCCCCAACCGTGTATACCATATATATATATATATATATATATATATACGAGGGTGATACGCTTCATACGTGCAGCGTGAATTCTCGGCGTGCTTTGCCGATAGATGGCGCTGCGCGGCTCGCATCAGTCGTTATCGGCGTGCCACGAGTTGGTCTTCTGGCTCACTTCGACGTTAGAGATGCTCGTATCGCTGCTCATGCGCGCCATCTCGATGCTGATGCTGCCTGCAGTCGACGACGTCACCGGCTCTCGGAAGTAGACAGTTTTCAGCGACTGCCCCGCCTCCTGCGGCTCTTCTCCGAAATAGACGGGCGTGTGCATCGCCTTCCGCGCCGTCACGTGGTCGTCGTGGTTGCAGGCATCCGTTCTAGCGGCGTCCGCAGAGGGTGCGTCGATTTCGGCGCGTCCCTCAGTGTCTTTTGCCGTTTCCGTTTCCGTTTCCGTTTCCTCTACGATTATCCGGCCGCTCGATTGCAGTTCGTTTTCGTCGATGTCGCGGTTGAAGTTGCCGCTGTCACGTGAGTCGGACTTGCTAGCCGCTGCCAGCGGGACGGCTTCGTCATCTGCAGAGTTCTCAACGCCGCTGCTCTGCGTCGACGCTGCTGCGACGGTGGCGGCGGCGGCGGAGGCGGAGCAGGAGGAGGAGGCGGAGACAAAGGCGATCGTAGTAGGTTCTGTGCCCGCGGCGTCCCGTGGTTCCCTGTTTAAAGTAATTAAGATGAACGTGAGGTCATCATCGATGCGGTATTCAGGTGCAATGATGCAGTGGTGGCGACAGGCGTCCCCGCGCACATGACTCGTACGACATTCTGCTGCAGAAGCGACGTCTCTGTAGCGACGTGCGTTCTTGTCAAGTGCGTACGCGATAGGATTTCTAGAGGGCGAAGAAGATTATCTGCATAATTATGGTGATGGGGTTAGCATTAGTGTTGTTCAACACATGTAACAGCCGCAATAAATTATGGGAACTTGGCACATAAATAAATAAATTCATAGATAAATAAAGAGATAGATAAATAAATAAATAATATTA